TTTAAAACGCCTGCCATCTTTTCTCTAGATATGTACATGTATGTTACTCAAGATTCGGTCCATTAATGAATTACTTCGTTTCTCCCAACATTTGGGTGGAGAGGAAAAAAAGTCCGTTGTCTTAAAAAAAAATATATTTCAAAGAAACAACCAGAGTTGAATAAATTGAAGCAATCTGTATGGACTAAAAATAATTATCTTTAGATATTTTGCTTTCTTTTTTAAAATTAAATTTTTGTTTTTTACTATTTATTCATTTATATCTTTCTTGTGCACGACTTTTTCAGATACGCACGTGCGTACCGTGCGTACAGGTAGCTACGCCCCTGTTTAACCGAATGAGTTATCACATTATTTCAAAACTATCTGAAAGAAAGACATCAGAGCTTGATAAACATTAGTCTTGCAGGTAGCCCCGTTAGTCCAACATGAAATTTAATTTTAAAAAAGTGTACATTGCCGAGAACAACAACAAAGGTAAAAAACAAGGACTCAACAAGAAACACCAAACCAGAAGTTACTTAAATTTCCTGATGATTATTGGCAACCCGACGCCAAGAAGGAAATTTCTGATTAAAAAATTTAATTTAAATTTTCAAGTCTAATTCAAAAATAAATACAAGAGCAATTTTTATGCCAGGATCAAATATACTCTTCTAAGTTGTATGGATACTCACTCAGATAATTTCCATTAATCTATGGCATGACAAATTTTTGCTCTGAATATAGACCATTTGCCATAAATGGCACCGATTTTGAATAATTCAACACTTACATACATCCTAAGGCTTGTGTTAAATGATGTAGTAGAATTATAGAGACATAAGCTAGTTTATGAATTGTCCATTATCATACCCGGATTCTTGTAGAAAGAGCCTTAGGATACATATTACGTTCATACCAAGCATCTTAAGCATCTTAAGCAATCGTCTACACGAATTCGCAAAACCGTCAGATACAATAAGAAAAAACAAAACAAAACAAAAGAAAGAACAAATTTCAGAAAGCTGGGGTTTTTTGGTGATCACCTTCCTGGTTCAGTGTGGACCGACGCGGTTCAAAAATATCCGAATTCTGATTCGTGTGGAAAGAGCCTTAGGATGCATACAACGTTTATACTAATCATCTTAAGTCGAGGTATTGTTATTCAAATATTAGCGCACTTCACGCCAAGGGCCAATTGTACTAAACAGAAAAGCAACATAAGCTAACATTCGTCGACTTGTTAATTTTTTAAGCTTCAATTTAGGCTATCATGCTTTGAAGAAGTAGTGTGGCTTCTAATATAGATGGCTAAGATATCGAAAGAAAACTTCTTTTATAAACTCTTTATCAAAGACGTGAGAATTGGAAAACTCAAATCAGTCTGAAAATCATTCTCCCACATCAAATGTATTATTTCTTTTATCTGACTCTTTCGAATTGTCTACAATAGAGATAACAAGGAATGCAGACTGAAAGCGACAATTTAATAGCTGGCACTGATCCCCTTTTTAAATGATTACATCTAAAACATTTTCTAGTAATCACCTGGTTTCCACCGTAACAATATTTTCACAACCTGCTCTTTCTTTTTAAATTTGCATTTTAGGAATTATCATGCGGCATGAAAATTCGCAACAATGCAACAACCCCAGGGGGCAGTTGATAGCTTGTGTTTTGCTAGTGTCTAGTATATTGCATCCAGAAGAGACCAGTGGAGCAAGAAATCAAATAATTAATTCTCGCCCGGATGCAAGACACATAGTTGCGTGTGAATATGAGGTTTAGTCCGAAAAGGTGTCTCCGTAACTCAGTGATAATTCTTATACTGTTTGGAACGTTTAAGATTCAGTGGCGGCAAAGTACAAAGCTGGAAGTCCCTGTGGAAGAACTTGATTCGATAACTCAACATAATATTCAAAAGACTGAAGCGTATTCGGCAGTGCTTCATTCGACTCAACTACATTCTAGCCGACCTCCGCCTTCAACTAAACTTCAATCAACGCAGATACCTTCAAGTCTGCATGATTCAACTGCAACCCTGTTAGAGAAACCAAAATTTCTTATTCTTGTTTACACTAAGTTCTGGGGACAGGTAAAATGGGTTGGCGAGCATCGAGGCGACTGCATTCTTGATCAAACCAGTAGAACTCAATGTCCATTAGATAGATTTGAAATAACCTACGACAAACAGCGGTTTTCGCAGAGCGACTTAGTAATATTTCACGCGGCTGGCGGGAACATGCCAAGTGTAGATCATCTGAAGTCATTATCAAAGAACAGGCCTGCTAAACAGCGCTGGGTTTATCAGACTATGGAAGGTCCACTGGTGACTCCCGATCCAGCGCCTTTGAACGGATTATTCAACGCAACTTGGACGTACCGAGGTGACTCCGATTTTTCAGCTGCCTATTCAGCTTATGTACCCCTCTTTCCTGAGGAAGCGGCGGGTAGAATGAAAACTATGATCGACTATAGTCAAGGAAAAACTAAACTTGTCGCATGGCTGGTGAGTAACTGTGGATCTCAACTACGTATGGCCTTCGTCCGCGAACTGATGAAGTACATCAACGTAGATGTATACGGAAGCTGCTCCAGCGCATTTGGCCAGCGACTATCATGTTCAAAATCAGGTGAAAAAGACTGCCTCAAACATTACAAATTCTACCTGTCGTTTGAAAATGCGCTGTGCAAGGATTACATCACTGAAAAGTACTGGGATCATTTAGGTAAATATTTGTTGTTGTTTTTAATCAACTATTTGTACATATTTCATGCGACATAAAATTATTTTGGTAAACAAGGTGACTAAGGCCAAACATTACTAATCGTTAGTGACAAAAACTAAAGGACTTCTTCGAGCGGATGCTGAAGCCACTCTTCATCTTTTACAGCCTTATTCAACTTTAATCAGCGTTGTCTTTTTTATCAATGCAAAAGTTTTTCTTCGTTAACAACAGCTCGTAACAAAGCTGTCTTGTCCTAAAAAAAATATCAATATCACGAAAGTTCAGCTCTCGAATACAAATGAGGCGCAGTATTTAGATAACACAGGGCATTAAAGTCGGTTTAATTTGTTGATTAAGCTCATTAGTCTGAGTAACCAGTAGCCGGGGTGCTATCGAGTCATGGAACGCAAATACTTTGTTTTGAATAAAATTCGTAATTAATTGCGACGAAAAAACGAAATTTCTGTTTTTTTTTTGGCAATCAGTAGGAATTAAAATAAATGTTGTTTGATAAGTCACCATGCAAGGCTTTCGTTTCGTATAATGCACTTATTCTCGAAACGCAAAGTAATCGTGCTAACGCGAAAACATTATACGGCGTCTTTCATCTGTGTTTTCGCTTAATTTGCATGCACTTTATTACTGCTTCGTTTTGGTAGTAACCACACTTCTAAAGGTCCTAACAGACCTTCACTATGCCATCTGATTAAGAGGCATCTAGATATTACCTTTTGGTTAATGGGAAGTAGTTAGAAGGAGATACTAAAACTTACTTTAAAAAGTTTCTTTATTCAAAGAAAAATGGTAAGAAAAATTGACAAATACCGAAATACCGTGTCGAAAATAGACGAAATATCGATACCGCATTTATGATCGGTCACGCTTACTTGAAGTTGTATCCATCCCCTGTGCTTGTTATCTCAAGCATGAATGCACCAGAAATCAACCTCAGCAATTGCGAGAAAACGTTAGAAGAACTCGAATTTATCGGTGCAACGATCGAAAAGCCCAGTCATCGGATGCAATAATTAACTATTACAAATTGTGTACTCATTTACCGTTAAGTGAAGGATCTTCTTTTACCGAAATACCGCTTGAAAAAAAGGTTAATACCGCAATACCGTAATTCCCCATGCCCCCCTTAATAAATGTTTTGGAAAACTTGGATAAAATTTTAATTAGCTACATTAGATCACAGTACACAGAGAGGGACACGTGGCTCTACCTGTTGCACAGGGTCCAGAGTAGTTTCGTATGAATAAATGAATTACTTACCTTGAAAAATGTCTATACCTGTCGCTTAGCACGATTAATTAGCCCAATGGGATCTTTATAAATCTACTGTAAACGATTTCTTCGCTTCTTATCTGACCCAGATCGACTTTTGAAAATCAATAACCGCAAGCCATATCCTCGCTGGCGCACGGCACGTCACCCGAAGGGTGACCGCCCGGAGCGACCGAGGCACGAAGTGCCGAGTAAAAGAAAGGACAAGTCCGTATTTTATACTGTAAGCCGATCTTGCGAGCCCTCAGTCTCTTGGTTTGCGGTCTATAGAATGTGTAACGAAACCGTAACGCGATCAAAATAACCCGTTTTTTCAGAGGTTTTCGACGGGTTTTGATGTTCTAACGACAAACACATCTCCTCTGGACCCTGTGCCTGTTGCCACTTTCTTTCAGCCTCTTTTACACGATAGACGGTAAGAAGACATACCGTGGGGAGAAAAGAGCCCACGTTCGATATGTTAAAAATTTAACTCGACTTCGAGGCATTGGGGACAAAATTGCACATTTTTAACAACTCCATTGTCTCGCAAATCCCAGAAGAGACCTGAGCACAAAGAAAACCGAGCCAAAAAAGCGAATCTTTACTGACGTCATTGTTTACATTTTTCTCATTAGCATACGACTTAACTCTTAGAAGCCATGGCCGTATATACGAACTAAATGCAAACGTTGAAAGACCTGATTAAGCTGAACAATTGGAGCCATTTTTTAGCTCTCTGCAAGCAATATTGAAGAAAATATCAGCCATACATTCTCATTCTCATCAGTCATACATTCTTTGTAAAATTTCGAGTTTTGAGAAGAGATTATCTCCGAAACCATTCGGTGTATTGGGCTCAAATTTTCAGAGACAACTGAAACTGTTATGCCCTTTCAATGTGATCAGAGTTTTATTTTATTAGCGCCATCAAATAGTGATAAGCATATGTTAATGAGGAGAAAAGTGTTAACAAAGATTCGCCTGAAAAATGACCAGAAAGCCTCGGAGTCGTGTTAGAATTCTAATATATCAAACGTGGCCTATTCCCTGGGGACATGGTTACTATTCCCCACTCCAGCAACTATTAGGGGAATATGTACAAGCTTTCGGCGCAACGACTTCTGGGATCATTTGGGTGGACAAGCGTTAATTATGATTGGTTAATGGTTACCTTGAATACCATCGACCAATCATAACTAACGCTTGTCCACCAAAACGAGCCCATTCTGCCTAGTGTTTCTGAAGTGAAGAATTCCGGTTTGTTTCCGATAAATCAGAAGAGCGGCCCTTGACACTCTTGTGGCAAATCTACAGCATGTGACGCGCCGTCGTAACGACAACTGTTAAAAAGATTATCGTAAATAGACAGTTAGGAAAGATCATCTGCTACTGTCACGACACGCCAGCTCAAACAGTACGAGGTGAAAGGAGAAAATTATAGAGTTTTCACAAGGAAACTGTTCACAGTCTCAAAACCTCGACTTTCTAACTGACTCGGATATATAACTGAAAACCAAGAGAGGATAAAGGAGACAGAGAAGGCATCCCCCATACATACCCTATTCCATAGGTAATTCGTCTCGAGTTATTTTTAGAATCGGGATAAAGTTACCTGAAAGCGTGAAGAGATCGAGAGCATTTCTGAATATTGACGCGAAATGAGTCGGCGCTCTCCTAGGAAAAGGGAATCGCTAGACTCTTTGACAACCCGTGAAATCAGTTTAACTCGAAGTTGTCGTAACCTCAGCGCTTTAATAAAATGAGAAATTTCGCCGGTCTATTGAAACCGGTCGTTTGTACAATAAAGCAAGTAGGACGCCAAGTGTTATTTTTGTTGAATAATAAGACTAATTGCTCTCTTCAAACTGTAAATTATTAATGATCCTGAGAGAATATTCAGTGTGTTAAGGATTTCCCTGCTGCACTGTTAGCTCGCAAGAGAGGGAGGGCGATTGTTTTCTAATTTCCGTTTCGCTGACACAGCTTTATCAGAAGTCTCTCTGTAGTCGTTTTCGTCGACAAAACTAATAGCAATATCGCTCTCCGCGTCTTCCGCCATTTTGTTCTGCGTCAATTCGTGAAGGACGCGTGGCTATGAGCGTAGGTCATGCACGCTGAACACATTCGCGCTACGTGATTGGCTGTTGTCTAATCCCCCTTGGGATCTGTGGTCTTAAAAATAACTCGAGACGAATTACCTATGGAATAGTATGTGTATGGGGGATGCCTTCTCTGTCCCCTTTATCCTCTCTTGCTGAAAACTCTTAGAAAAATTTGAGGCCAAGGGCAAGGTAAATGTGTGTTTGTTAAATGCAGTTGTTTTTGTAATAATATACAATATTTATAGAGCGCTAATTCCCAATGGTCCAAAAGCGTTACGCTGTAGAAGCAATTATTTCAAACAGAAATTTCTCGAAAACGCTCGCATAAAAATTACCTAAAATCGGTACAACTCAAGACAGTTATGTGAGCTTCACGTCCCATAAGCAGCTCCAAAAACAAATATCTAGATTTCTCATAATTTCAGGAAACGTAAAAATACCAATAGCGTCGCGCGTTGCCATGGATACGTCGATCTCGCAAAAACTAAGTTTGTTGGAAACTCTAATCTATACCATACAATTCGCTTACCTGCTTCGCTTGGGGCATCTTTACATTTCGCGTTACATTATCTTAACGTTTTAAAACCCAATATCCACTTACAAACTTTGAGAAATTCTCCAGACTTGTCTTAGTTGAGAGAATAGGATAAAAGATCAAAGAATTTTCCCTCAGGTGATCATGAAATTAATTATGATAACCTTTCCCCTTGATCGGGACTTTGTATTGATATCATTGGGAGACAACTGATGTTGGTCACTAATTTCTTGCTCTTTCAGGAGAGTACACGAATGTTGTTCCCGTTGTGATGGGTGGCGCTGATCCCTCAGACTACAAACGAATGGCTATTCCGGGGTCTTATATCAATGTTGTGGACTTCAAGACTGTAAAACAACTAGCAGAATATCTTCAATATCTGGACAAAAACAACACAGCTTACAACGAGTATTTTAAGTGGCGGTTAAAATACAAAGTGAGTCCTTATCACTACCCGCTGTGTAACTTTTGCAGATCGCTCGCCTTAAAACCTGACCTTAGAGAAACGAAAATTTACCACGATCTTCGCAAATATTGGTTAGAAGAGGGAATGTGCAATCAACAGAACCAACGTATTAGAAGCATGTGGTAAGCCATGACTAAAGGCTCGGAAAGGTTGACACAGTTAAGTTCAGTTACCCTACACACGGACAACGGCGTGGTGTGTCATTTATAAGACCCTAAAAGATGAATGGGAAAATCTCCCGTTGGTGCGTGGAGCAACTGGTATACTAAAATCAGTTTAGCATTAATAAAGAAAAAGTGCCGTAATAAGCGACTATCTGCTTACGTTACGGGCGTAGCCCTTGACTGGTGGAAAATTAAGTTGTGGTTGTTGATGGCTCGTATGGGCCACGATGAGAAAAAAAGTAAATTGAAAGTTTTTAAAGCGCACACGCTACCTTACGGTACCGTGGAAGTCCCAACGGCCGGTACGCAGTAGAGTATGCGCGTATACTATCTACCTTCCATGGAGATCTCATTGATCTGAAGCTCAATTTTAGGAGAGGTTTCTAGAGGAATGTAAAATGTCTGCTTCGATGCACCGCTTACGAACAGACTTATGTCAAGTTAATCTACCCATTATAGTCAGAACTTTAAATAGAAAGAAGACGGTTTCTTTTAGCGACGCGCGTTAATCGAAAGATGACCTTTTTCATTTATGAGCAGCGGTTTAGACCAAAATGTCTGAGCTACCGCGCCTTCTGTTGTCCCTTTTTCTTTTGGTATCAGCACAGTCGACGTCAAATTTCAACGCTTAAAGGCGCGTTATGAAGGATAAGTCGGGAGAATTTAATGAGAATCTTGGGTATTGGTATTCTACTTCGCTATAACGCGTACTACAGTTAAGCTGTGGTTTAATTTTTCATCCTGTTCTTTTAACCTGTTACCTTTCTGTCTTTACAGCTTAAACTTGAGATTATACCAATATTTTGGTTTAATGTACCTTTTTGTTGTTTTGAACAGGTTATCACTTCCAATAACGGAGTTTCTCTTCTTTGTTTTAGAAAGAGCAGGTCATAATTGAAAACAATGATTAAATATTAAAACATGACAATCATTATTTTTAATATTGATCTCGTGTTCCACTTCAATGAACACAATAATGACCTCCTGCTCCTCCTTGCTAGCCACAAGAAATTTTTTACGATAATATAAGATTGAGGACTAAGCCTTTTTTGCTGCCATGAATTTCTTTCTTGCTTTGTACCACGCTTCTTGTATTTACCAGATATAACCAGCATTTGCAAACTATTTCTAAATGTTGGTAAACGTAATGTTTTAAAGTTTCCATCCAAAACATCCAGTTGAAAGAAATAAGCGACAATCTTGGCCAGAATACTATGAAACAGCCCCCGGGGGGGGGGAGGGGGGGTTCTTTAGGAATTTCTGGGTGGGGATGTGCCGCTGGGACCCTGGAACCCTTAACCTATACCAGAGCTAGTTCAGCTGAATTTTGCTACCCTCTACTAGAGTAAACTCCCCAAATCCCCCCTATCCTAGAGTAGCTGTTTCCCTAGTCTAGATAAAATCTTCAACCAACTGATCAGTTTCCTGAAAAATGATACCCTATTCTAGACCCAAACGCACTGATTTATATACCCTATCCTAGAGTAAACTGCTTGAAAACCATACCCTTCACAGCGGCACATACCTATATAGCCCATATATGGCAGTACCCCCCCGGGAAACAGCAAACTCTCCTTCCCCCGAATCTCAAGGATGAAGCCGTGCGAAAGCCAAAACGCGCCATTTTCCCATCCTTGGTTTTGGGGGGATCTTGATAGACTACTATTTCCCTTGTTTTATTCCCCTCAGTCTTGGAGCCAAGTATGAATTTGAGTAGTTCGAAAGTGGTCTGTTATCCCCAAAGCATTTGATATTTTTGCACAGAACTGAGAAACAAAATTTTCTCCCCTTTTTGTGTTTTTACTAGTCTGGCCTTGCACTATCCTCGAAACGTTTCCAAGTTCTTAAATAGTTTTCCTGTTTGGTTTGTAATTTTGAAAGGCTTCTTTCTTATCGATGCCCAGTTAAAAACTCTAGTTTATTCGCCGTCTACACGTTTTGAGGTAATCTCGAGCTCGCTGTTGTGCACGAAGACTGATTGGTAAAATATTCTTTAATTCAAACCTAAGCGATCATCCTTTTAACCATGCAATTGACCTTGTTACCTAGAGGGAAAGCACAAAACTAAACACCCTTGTCTTAGTGAACTTCTGCAGTGGGTTCACGAAAAAAAAACCCCATTATCTAGAAATCCTTTCAGACATGGCTCAGTATAGGTATTAACATTTCGTACGACACATCGCTCGTGACATTCCACGTTCGCGTGAGCCTTAAATTTAGCAGACATAAATTTCTGTTTCAATCCACCTTGGTTCGTTTTCCTAGCTCCTTTAGAACAAGGTTATTATTCTCTGCCTGCACTCGGTGTAAAAGAAAAAGTTCGTGACACTTAATTAATTTCTTGTGTTTGTCACCCCTCATACCAAAATTAAACCAATCAAATAAATGGTTGTTCTTAATAAAGTTTCAGGATTACCACTTCCCAAAAGTATTGCAATTTTTCGCTTTAAACTGACCCGAGTTGTTTTGAGCGGAAGTTGTCAATTCAACATCAAGTGATGTGCCTAACTTTTCAAACATTTCACCGGAGCAAAACTTTAATTTTTGTTCCCTTTCATTCAAATCGCTTCAAAAATTGTTAATTAAATTTCCCGGGTACCGCCCTCTATGTTCTCCTCCAATTTATTTGAAGAATTGACTAAGGACCTCAATTAAATCTTCTTTTTACATGGTATCCAGGTCTGCATATAACCTGAGGATAATGCCTTAGGAAAGAGGTCTTCTTAACGATAATGACCGAGCGCGTAGCTCGAGGTCAGTTATCATTTTTAAGAGGGCCAAGGAGCGATACATCGTCCTACATTCATTGTATCCTGTTCCATTTCAGATTATTCATTAAGCTCAAATACTTGTTCAAAACGATGGAAAGGAGCATTAAGCACCCCTAGCATCTCCAACACTAGATGTTTCATCAAAGGAGTGGCGCACCTTTCGGATGCAAGACACAGAGTTGAGGTTGAACATGAGGTTTAGACCTAAAAACTGTCTCCGGAACTCATTGATAATTCTTATAGTGTTCGGAACGTTTAAGATTCGGTGGCGGCAAAGTGCAAAGCTGGAAGTCGCTGTGGAAGAACTTGATTCGATAACTCAACCGAATATTCAGAAGACTGAAGCGTATTCGGCAGTGCTTCATTCGACTCAACTACATTCAAGCCGACCTCCGCCTTCAGCTAAACTTCAATCAATGCAGATACCTTCCAGTCTGCCTAATTCAACTGCAACCCTGTTAGAGAAACCAAAATTTCTTATTCTTATTTACACTAGGTTCTGGCAAAAAGTAAAAGAGGTTGGCGAGTATCGAAGCGACTGCATTCTTGATCAAACCAGCAGAACTCAATGCCCATTAGATAGATTTGAAATGACCTACGACAAAGATCGGTTTTCGCAGAGCGACTTAGTGATATTTCGCGCGGCTGGCGGGAACATGCCAAGTGTAGATCACCTGAAGTCATTATCAAAGAACAGGCCTGCTAAACAGCGCTGGGTTTATCACACTATGGAAGGGCCACTGGCAACTCCCGATCCAGCACCGTTAAACGGATTGTTCAACGCAACTTGGACGTACCGAGATGATTCCGAGTTTTCAGCTGCCTATTCAGCGTATGTACCCCTCTTTCCTGAGGAAGCGGCGGATAGAATGAAAACTATGATCGACTATAGTCAAGGAAAAACTAAACTTGTCGCATGGCTGGTGAGTAACTGTGGATCTCAACTACGTATGGCCTTCGTCCGCGAACTGATGAAGTACATCAACGTAGATGTATACGGAAGCTGCTCCAGCACATTTGGCCAGAGACTATCATGTTCAAAATCTGATGAAAAAGACTGCCTCAAACATTACAAATTCTACCTTTCGTTTGAAAATGCGCTTTGCAAGGATTACATCACTGAAAAGTACTGGGATCATTTAGGTAAATATTTGTTGTTGTTTTTTAAATCAACTATTAGTACATACTTCATGCGACATAAAATTATTTTGGTAAGCAAGGTGACTAAGGCCAAACATCACTAATCGTTAGTGACCAAAACAAAAGAACTTCTTCAAGCGGATGCTGAAGCCAGTCTTCATCCTTTACAGCCTTATTCAACGTTAATCAGCGTTGTCTTTTTTATCAATACAAAAATTTTTCTTCCTTAACAATAGCTCGTAACTAAGCTGTCTTGTCCTAACGAAAATATCAATATCACGAAAGTTCAGCTCGCGAATACAAATGAGGCGCAGTATTTAGATAACACAGGGTACGTAGGTTTAATTTGCTGATTAAATTCATTAGTCTGAGCAACCAGGTAAGGTGCTATCGAGTCTTGGAACAAAAATATTTTGTTTTGAAAAAAATTCGTAATTAATTTCTATGAGAAAACGAAATTTCGGATTTTTTGGCAGTATATGAATAAAAAGGAATGTTGTTTGATAAGTCACCATGTAAGGGTTTCGTTTCCCATAATGCACTCGTCTCTCGTCTGTGTTTTCGCTTACTTTGCATGCACCTTATAAACTTTATAACTACTTCGTTTAGTTAGTAACCACACTTCTTAAGGTCCCAACAGACCTTCACCATGCCAGAGGTATCTAGATTTTACCTTTTGGTGTATGCGAAGTAGTTAGAAGCGGATACTAAAACGTACTTTAAACTTTCTTTATCTAATTGTTTGGACAACCACAGGCAGCCCAAGCTCGAAATATGAGCATCGGCATTGTTGCGTAACATTCGAAATATAAGGATTTGTATGGGGAAAAAACCTATCTACCTGACTCGGATATACAACTGAAAACTCTTAGAAAAACTTGAGGCCAAGAGCCGGGTAAATGTCTGTTTGTTAAACGCGGTTTTTTTTGTAATTGGTTACGCTGTAGCAGCAATTATTTCAAACAGAAATTTCTCGAAAACGCTCGCATAAAAATTGCTTAAAATCGGTTCAACTCAAGACGGTTATGTGAGCTTCACGTCCTATCATAAGCAGCTTCAAAAACAAATGTCTAGATTTCTCATAATTTCAGGAAACGTAAAAATGCCAATAGCGTCGCTGCGTTGCCATAGATACGTCGATCGGTTACCTGCTTTGCTTGGGGCATTTTTACATTTTTGTTAATAGATGTTATCAATGTTAAAACGGGTCGAGCTACCTTAAGTATTGACTTCCCACTACCTGTTCCAGAGTCTGGTTATTTTTGAGAGCGAAAGGTTATGCAGATAATTATTCAGCAATATCAAATGTCTTATTGACGTATTTCAGTACTCCTGTGAGGTAACAGGATGTAGGTTCTATTACATTCAAACCACACTTCACGGACATCCCGTTATTACGGACAGTTTGCTTTGTGTTCGTTGAAAGAAAGCCCTTACATTTTCTCCAAATTCAATCCTCTTAATATGGACACTTTCTATCGTATTAACGGAGTTTGACTGTATTTTGCAAGTGCAGAGAAAAATGCGAAAATCTACAATTTTTTCGTAGTGTATGTTTCTGAAGGGAAATAGAGATAACCCAGCAGGGCGCTGTTAAAGCGGCAGCTTTATTACTTATCTTAACCCTTTAAATCCCAATATCCAGATACAAACTTTGAGAAATTCTGCAAACTTGTCTTAGTTGAGAAAATAGGATAAAAGATCAAAGAATTTTCCCTCAGGTGATCATGAAATTAATTCTGATAACCTTTAACCTTGATCGGGACTTTGATATCATTGTGAGACAACTGATGTTGGTCACTAATTTCTTGCTCTTTCAGGAGAGTACACGAATGTTGTTCCCGTTGTGATGGGTGGCGCTGATCCCTCAGACTACAAACGAATGGCTATTCCGGGGTCTCATATCAATGTTGTGGACTTCAAGACCGTAAAAAAACTAGCAGAATATCTTCAATATCTGGACAAAAACAACACAGCTTACAACGAGTATTTTAAGTGGCGGTTAAAATACAAAAGAAGTCCTTACCACTACCCTTTGTGTAACTTTTGCAGATCACTCGCCTTAAAACCTGACCTTAGAGAAACGAAAATTTATCACGATCTTCGCAATTATTGGTTAGAAGAAGGAATGTGTCATCAACAGTACCAACGTATTAGAAACATGTGGTAAGCCATGACTAAAGGCTTGGAAAGGCTGACACGGTTAAGTGCAATTACCCCTCACACGGACAACGTGGTATGTCATCTATGAGACCCTAAAAGATGAACGGGAATATTTCCGTTTGCAGCGTGGCACTCATGATCAGAGCAACTGGTATCTTAAAATCAGTTTAGTATTTATAAAGCAAAAGTGCCATAATAAGCGACTATCTGCTTAAGTTACGGGCGTAGCCTTTGATCGGTGGAAAGATAAGTTGTAGTTCTTGATGGCGGGTATGGGAAAAAAATTAAATTGAAAGATTAAAAATGTACACGCTACATTAACCTTTTTCGGACGGCTATAGGATCGTATACGTCCCGTATGGAACGATGTATACATTCCCCCCTGGACCCATTTAGCTTTCAGTTTAAGTTAATAAATAGGTAAGCAACAACGTCAGCAAAGATAGATCTTTCCAGCGATACCTCGTTTTGGATATTCTGACCAATCCTGACAGAGTTACACTCACAAAAAAGGTAACATTTTGGGGAAAAATCCGCTGCCACTTTCGCTGTTTGCATACTACTCTTTGAAAATTAAATTTGTTCCTTTTCTCAAAAGTTAGCCCGCCACAATTCGATGCAAAACAAAGACGATAAAGTGGGCAACAAAACCGCTAATAAAGAACGAAAAGAAGGAGAAAAAGAGAGGCGGAGAGAAAGATCGAAATAGATTTGCACTGAAAAAAAAGAAAACTTTTGCGCATGTGTGAAAAACAAAAAAACTGTTTTTACATCAAATTACTCGGAAAATATGCCATTTTTCTTGCAATACTCACTTTCAGTCATTCTTACGCTAATTAGCGGAAAACTAGTCCAAAGAAGAGAAATTGGTGAAAAATGCGGTTTTTTCGCTACTCGCCGGCCGTCACCAAAGGGTTAAGGTACTGGAAGTCACAACGGCCGGTAGGCAGTAGTCGAGCGCGGGTAAGCTATCGACCTTCCATGGAGATCTCATCTGAAGTTCAATTTTATTAGACGTTTCGGAAGGAATACAAAATGCATTTTACTAGAGGTTTCCGGAGGAATACAAACGATGCACCTCTACGAACAAAGCTCTCTGCTAAAAAACCGCCTTCCTTGTGTGTTTTTTTTAGCGACGCACCTCAACCCGAAGATGACCTTTTGCATCTCCGAGGAGTGGTTTAGACCAAACCCTCTGAGCTACCGCGCCTTATGTTGTCCCTTTTTCTTTTGGTATCAGCACAGTCTACGTCAAATGTCAACGCTTAAAGGGGCGTTATGAAGAATAAGTCGGCAGAATTTCTGTTACCTTTCTGTCTTTGAGGCTTAAAATTGAGATTATACCAATATTTTGGTTTAATGCACCTTTTTATTGTTTTGAACAGGTTATCACTTCCAATAACGGAGTTTCTACTCTTTGTTTTAGAAAGAGCAGGTCATTATTGAAAATAACGATTAAATATTTAAACATGACAATCATTATTTTTAATATCGATCTCCCGTTCTACTTGAATGAACACAATAATGACCTCCTTCTCCTCTTTGCTAGCCACAAGAAATTTTTTACGACAATATAAGATTGAGGACTGAGCCTTTTTTGTTACTACAACTTTCTTTCTTGCTTTGTACCACGCTTCTTGTATTTACCAGATATAACCAGCATTTGCAAACTATTTCTA